CTCTGCTTCCAATCCTCCTGACTATATCCCCCCTTTCCTTTCTATCTGGACCACAGTTCCTGATGTGACACTGCAGATCCTGTCTCACTGTCCTCAGCACTAATGCTTAGGAGATCAAATTATCTGGCTGCTATGTGATGTCCAATAATACCAGTTGCCAAATTACAAACTGATGCTGGTAATAATCTCCCTCTGCCCTTCCTTAGGGTACAATGAGGGTAATAACCTCTCTTTCAGGGTTAGTGTGAGAATCAACTCGTCTCATTGTATGGGAGGCTTCATATATGGATTCTTATTTGTGAGAGTATGACCTGGGGTGGGAGAGGGCATTGGTTATTTCTTGTCATCTTGACATAGACTAATGTCACTTGGGATAAAGGGAACCTCATTAGAGGAAGTGCTTTGATCAGATTAGAGTCTTATCTGTGGGACACTTTCCTGATTAAATTTATGCTAAGAGACATCAGATGCAACTTGAAGCAAACAGTCTCAGAGTACAATTCGTGGAAGCAAAGTTTGGGACCTTTCATTCCCTGATGCCAGTATGTGGTTTTCTGACTTAGGTATAGTAGGAGGGTCTCCAATTTCACAGATGCTGGGTTTCTCTGCTGGATGCATCCAGCCCTTTCTCTTCTGGTTCACTTTGATGTTGCTCATCCCTGTTCCCACTGCTCCAGGCAGAAGCGTCTTAAGTGTTAGGAAATATTACTGGTAATGTGTGAAGCTAGGACAACCTTTTACTCCTGGAGGCTGGGCAATGTATTCTGCTCAAGCTTCCACTAGCAACCTGATCCCTTCATGTGTTGCATGACGTCCTGTGAACTAGTGTTGTGCACACAGTGGATAAAAACCTTCGAGTGTCTGTGCTGGATGGTGTCATGATTCTTCCCAGATCCTTGTACCTCTTCTATTGACCTCCAATGTTTTTACTATTGGAGAATCAGTGTCTAGATTTCATTCTAGACATCATGGATCAGGACCAGGACATATGTCCTCCCACACTGGGCTTACCATATTCAGATGATAGTATGACAGGACCAGGTCATGTTTTCCATGAGGACAGAGTGAGGTGTGGGTTAGTGTATTCTCCTAAGGCCTACTCAGCTGCTAGTGGTGATGGCACTTCCCTTTAAATCCAGCTCTTTGGAGGCAGAGGAAGGTGGAATATTTGTGAGTTTAAGACCTACCAATCTACATAGTGAATTCCAGGACAGCCAAGGGTCTGTTGAGAGTCCTTGTCTCAAAACAACAACAACAATAACAAAAGAAAAATGAAACAAATGTTTCTGCTCAGGTGGAGGGAGAAATTGAGTGCAGCCTACACAAACATGTGGACAGTCATATCTAGAGAATGGACCATGTGACCTAAGCCATGCTCTAAGGCCAACATCAAAACATTTCATGTGCATTTCTCAAAAACCCCAGTGCTGGGGAGGTAGAGACAGGAAGATTGCTGGAGCTCACTGGTCACCCAACTACCCAAATTCCGGGACTCTGGGTTCAGTGAGAAATCTTGGATCTTATTTCCCTGCCCCTTCCCTCCAAAAATATAGAGAACCAGAGATAAAGACATCCAGCATTGACCTGAGACTCTACATGCACTGTGTTCAAACACACACACATCACCCATATGCATAACACATGAAATTGGAGACAACATAACATGGAATGGTTTTCTCTGTTCATGAGTCAGCACTTTGAAAATGATATATGAACCAAAGAGATGCAGAGTTTCTCCACAGTCCCCAGGAAAATTCTAATGACAAGACATTCTTCACAGAACTAGGAAATCCTAAACTGGATATGGTTATGGATATCTCTCATCCCAACATTCTGAAGACCAATGACTTTGAGGGCAGTCTGGTATAGTTAGTTCCAGGTCAGTCATTGCTATACAGTGAGACTCAAAAGACACAAAGCAGGTGCTATATCACTGAGCTACACCCCAAGAGCTTCTTTTACCTTTTATTTGGGCACTGGATCTCACTAATTTGTCCATAATGGCCTGGAATCCACTCTTCAGCTAAAAAAGATTTTTCATTTTAAATTGTCCTGCATCAGCCCCTCAAGTAGCCGTGGTATGGGGACTGTGCCACTAGGGCCACCAATTTTTAAATTTTAAGCTACTCATTGTCTTCAAAACAAATATTAAAATAGACAGACTTACAAAACAATATTAAAACAAACAGAAAAAAGAAGAAATGAAAGAAAAAGAAACATAACATAATTATCAATGTGGTTGTGATGTCCTTAAAAATTGTTATTGAACCTTATTTTAGTTTTTTCCTTCTTTCTTCATTTTTTATAGACCAATCAAAGTTTCTCTTTCCTCCTCTCTTCCAAGTCCCTCACTTCCAACCCTAAACCTTCCCCATCCACTCCTCCTCTGTTTCTCTTCAGAAAATGGAGGGCCTCCCGTGGATATCAGCCAGCCATGGTCTGTCAAGATGCAGTGAGACGAAGCACCTCCTTTCTCTCAAGGTTGGATGAGGCAATCCATTAGGAGGAATGGGTTCCCAAAGCAGGTAACAGAGTCAGAGAACGTTTTTCCCAACTGACACAAATGTGATATGTATGCAGAGGGCCTAGAACAGTCCCATGCAGGTGCCCTGGTTGTGAGTTAATAAATTTTTTAAACGGATCACACCTAAACTGTTGTGAAAGAACTTTCTTCCTAGGTTTTCTTAATCAGGTTTCCTTTATCAGGTTTTGTTAATAATTATTTTCTGGTTTGATAAACTATATTGAGTTATTTCTTCTTTCTCTAGTTTCATAATGTCTTTATTTGAAATGCACAAACATTTGGAAAAAAATCACCAACTACCAGGAAGAGAATTTCCAAAGTAGAACTTTTCATTCCTTTTTAAATTTTTATAATTTTTTTTATTTAGAAACAATCTTATTTTACACATCAATTCCCTGTTCCCTCTGTCATATCATTTGGTGGAGAGCCCAGGCCGTCCTTTCTGTATCTGGGTTGCAATAGTATCCCTCCATAGGGAATGGGCTCCCAAAGTCCATTTGTGCTTTAGGAATAAACACTGGCTCCACTGTTAGAGGTCCCATAGACTGTCTTGGCCTCCTAGCTGGCACTGACATTCGGAGGGCTTGGTTTTGTCCAATGTTGGTTCCCCAGCATTACAACTAGGGTCTCTGTGCTCTAGGTCCGGCCAACTGTTTCCATGGGTTTTTCCAGCACCATCTTGGCTCCTTTGCTCATCCCTCCTCCATCTCCACAACTAGATTGCAGGAGTATGGCTTAGTGCTTAGCTGTGGGTGTCTGCTTCTGCTTCTCTCATCTCCCGGATGAAGGCTCTAGGATGGCAATTAAGGTAGTCATCAATCTCGTTATAGGGGAAGGGCATCAAAGAAGTCTTTCCACTATTGCTTAGATTCTCAGTTGGGGTCATCTGTGTGGATCTCTGGACATTTCCCTAGTGCCAGATTTCTCTTTAAGCCCATACCGTCCCCCACTAGTAAGGGTTCTCTTTTCTTGCTCTCCTCTATTCCTCCTCTGTCTCAGTCTTCCTGACCCCCCTCCTTCTCCT